ACAACTCAGAAAAACATAAGGAATAAGTCACTACAGAATTCCAGGAATTCTTTTTTAAGACAGGGTTGGACTCAAACGAAACGAAAGAAATAATTAACTGTCCTGAAAACACAGAGAACATAGTTTCTACAGAACCCAAAATTCTCAACCTATCACAAAGAGCCTTAAATAGTGATGAAATAAAACTTTTAGAACATGGTTTAAAATTCACGCCTACGCCGAAGTCTGATAAGGTTGATGTCGTCACGGACACAGAAGAATTCTGCCGAAAATTACGCTTGAAGGAATTCTTTCAAAATCAAACCAATGATGATATATCTCTAGTTAAAAATAAGAAGGGTTTTAAGCCACCGCTTAATAGAGATAAACATTTGGAGGATTATATCTCATGTCTTAGAAAGGCAGCTCAATCCAACATAGCGGATAAAAAGGTAACATCAAATATTCCTCATAATCAATATCAAGCAATGCAAAATCTTAAAAGAGACCAAACAATTGTTATCAAAAGCGCCGATAAAGGAGGAGCTATAGTAATTATGGACAGAGAACACTATAAAGAAATGTCCCTATCTCAACTCCAGGATAATCAGTTCTATAAGAAACTAGAGCAAAATCAGGATCGGCAATCTATGCTTAAAATAACAAACCTCACAAAGAAGTTTCAAAGTAACCTCACGAAAAACGAAATTGAATACCTTACGAACTTTGAAGTTAAAACTAGCCATTTTTATGGTCTTCCCAAAATACACAAATGTAAAGAAATCCAGAAAAATGTCAAGAAATGTAATTCTACGTACATAAAACTTCCTAGACCAAATGATCTTAAACTGAGGCCCATCATTGCAGGACCTGCATCTAGTACACAAAGATTAAGCAATCTGCTAGATATAATCTTAAAACCACTGTGCACCAAAGTGACCAGTTATGTTCGTGATGATATGGATTTCCTTAATTATATTCCACAAACAGTACCAAGAGATACACTGCTTGTTAGTTTTGATGTTACCAGCTTATATACTAATATTACGCATGATTTAGGAATTGAGGCAATCAAATATTGGTTGGATAAATATCCGGAAGAAATCGACGATAGATTTCCCGCAAACTTCATCTTAGAAGGACTTAGAATTGTACTAGAGAATAATAATTTTCTTTTTGATGACGAAAATTATCTACAAATCAAAGGTACTGCCATGGGCACCAAAGTCGCCCCTACATATGCTTGTTTAGTTATGGGATTTCTAGAAGAAAAACTTTACACTATTTTACCGGAAACCTTTGATCTGGACTTTACGCAGTACATTAAAGAGAATTGGAAAAGGTACTTGGATGATTGCTTCATCTTTTGGACAAGGAGTGAAGAGGATCTTAGAAAATTCCATTCGGTCATTAATGAATTACACGATTCAATTAATTTCACAAATGACATGAATCGTGATTCACTTCCTTTTCTAGATATACTCATAATAAAAAACGGAGAAGATATTTCTACAGACCTATTCTGTAAAGAAACAGATACTCACCAATACTTGGACTTTCGTTCCTGCCATCCGTCACATACAAAAAGGAACATTCCATACAATATGGCCAGACGTATTTGTACCATTGTGACCGAGCCTACTCTACGCTTGAAAAGGCTCCAAGAATTAAAACAACACCTGAGGCGACAAAACTATCCAATAAACCTTATTGAGGACGGAATCAACCGGGCAAAAGACATACCAATAACCAAATTAAGAAAAAGTCGCCATCCAGAGGAAAACGACGTAGAGAACATCCCATTTGTGATAACTCATAACCCACGTAACCACAATATTCTAAATTCAGCGAAACGATTTTTTCCAATATTAGAACAATCTGAAAACATGAAAAATCTTCTGGACAAATCGTCAATAATTAACAGCAGAAGACAAGCACCAAACCTGAGGCGGATTTTAACCAAAGCGAAATTTTCCTCTAGCAACCAGAGAGTCGTCAAAAAGTGTGGTGACCCCCGATGTGGAACGTGTGATTTCATTCAGGAGGGCGAACATATTACACTTAAAAACGGGAAAATTTTAAAACCAAATACCAGTATGAATTGTAAATCTTCAAATTTGATATACTGTGCAATATGCCCTACCTGTGGAGAACATTATATAGGGCAGACAAATCAACTCAACGCACGAGTTAGGGTTCACAAACAACATATAAGGGACGAAACTGTCAGATGCACCCCATGTTCAGAACATTTTGCTGAGTGTGGTAAAGGAAAATTTAAGATTTTCCCGTTCTACAAAATGTGGACATCGGATGAAAGCGCCCGTGTAACCAAAGAGGACTATTTTATAAGACTGTTTAATCCAAAACTAAATCGCAAATGATAGATTATGTGTTCACAGATTTTATATTATTTCTATGCTTTAATTATACATTGTATTTTAACTGCGTTGAAAAAGTTCATGTAGCCGCTACCACAAACTTCATTGTGACGTCATAATACCTAAGATTTTTACGACGTCATTAGCAACGTTATTGGCAACGTTTTGAACTTTTCATAACTGTCTGAAGAGCCAACATGGCTGAAAGCGCTAACAGTAAAGATTTTATTTAATTTGGACTGTAGCATTCTGTTTTCATTTATTTAAGTATTTTTTACTGTACCAAGAATTTAACTTATCAACGTATATATATATATATATATATATATATATATATGGATTATTTTATATATATATATATATATATATATATATATATATATATATATATATATATATATATATATATATATATGACTTATGGCTTTAGGAGACCAAGGAGGATATATTTTCTGGCTTAGGGAGACCACTGGATTAAGGCGACCTTTTTAGGTCTCCCTATTATTTTGACCTCATCAGTATTGCAAATGTCTTTTTATAGATAAATAAACAGTCTGTCATTAAATATTATTAATCTTTAACTCTGTTATTTAACATTCAAAAGTTGTCTAATTTCTATCATCTTCTCTAAAAAAGAAAAGAATTTATAACCTACGTATAATTTCAAAGGATAATTTTTCTGCATTTTGGAGACCATGAAAAACATGCAATTAAACAAAAAATCTAGCATATATATTTTTTCCGCTTTTGATTTGTTCAAATGAGTGTTTCTTTAACTTAGTTTTCCATGTTTTATGTTAAAAACCTAAAAAGGAAAAATATTGTAAATTTATGAACCATGTTTTGAATTCTTAGCAAGTGCTTTCCGTCATTTGTTCCGAATGCCATCGGAATGCCCCTTCAGTTTTCAGAAAATGACCCCTGAACACCGTGGATGTTGAGAAATTTGGGTAAGTAACTAAAATGATACAGTAATAAGTTGTAATTAAGAATACACAAGACAAACATTCGTTTGTTTTTTTTTGTTTTTGTTTTTTTGCCTAGTAATTTAGCTTCCAAGAGAAAAAGTATGATTTTAAATAATCGTTAGACTATAGTTCGGTATATAAAATCCTGAAGGAAATTCGAAATAAAGTTAAATGATAGGCCCCTATATTTTTTAATTCTTTTATGCAAGTCCACAAACAAATTAAATATTTTAAAGATTAGGCCGAACGTTGAAAAAATAGTCTCGCAAGTTGACGCAGCTATTTCTAGCTTAAAAATTTAAATTAAACTTAATTTCTGTAAACATCATGCAGGACATGATCATCATAATATAGTATAAATGAAACAGACCCTGTAAGAAAAAAATAGCTGTAATTTAATAATTGTTTATTAATATAATGTGGTCCTCTGCTAATAGAATATATATGCTGACTGTAAAAAAAATCTGAATCAGGGTGAAGCAGATTTGATACAATACATGGCTGAAGGAACGGGGGGGGGGGGGGGGGGCAGGCCCCCTGCAATTTTGCTGAAATTTAGGTATACTATAGAAAACATTGCTCCTTTATGCTCGGGCCCCCTCAATAATAACCTCTGATGATCTATTTTTCTTTTGCTTTTGGGCCCCCTCAATAATAACCTCTGATAATGTATTTTTCTTTTGCTTATTAAAAATTTTTTGGTTTGTAGTCTCCCCCAACCTGAAACTGAAAAATGTTGTTTGGTTGTGCTCACCCCCCCCTCCCCCCTCCAACTAAATTAAGTACGGGCCTATTCTCCATCCCTGAGGTTTTCTTTCACCAAAGAAAGATTAATTGGTAACAGTTCAGATATATATAGCAATATTTACGGAAGGGAATATTCTCGTTTAATTATGAAGATGTGACAGTAACTCAGTCAAAGCCACAGTGAGTGTAACAATTATTTAATATTATTGTTAATGTTTACAAATAGTGAAATACTGATACTGTGAAATTTTAATGGATATATAGAAAATATAAAAGTACAACCATTTATTGTAAATCACATACATGAAAAGCTTCTTTTTTTTCAAGCAATTGGAAATTCTTCATTTTTTCATGAAATTATTTTATTTCGTATGTATGATAAATTATTTCGTATTTTAATTCAGTCAACAAATCATTGCCGCAGCCTAGTTCCCTTCATTATTTTCAGCAGTTCAGTGACAGAGATAAAATGATCATTTGAGGTTTATACCCCCCCCCCCCCCTCCCCACCAAATGAAACTGAAAAATGTTGGTTTTGGTCCCCTTCAACTGAAATTGATTCCTTCTTACCATGCTTACAGGCTTAACTATGAAGATGTGACAGGGAGTGTAATAACAATAATTGTTCAGACGAACACATATTAAGCTGATATATCATTTACGTATCAAATTTTAATGGATAGATAGAAATTAATAAACAATTACAACCATTTATTATAAACTACATAAAGATAATTTTTCAAGCAATTTGAAATTCTTCATTTTTTATGATAATATTTTATTTCGTATATATGTTTATAGGTTTATTCGTATCAACAAATCTGTGTACGAGTTAATAACGCAGCCTGGTTCCCTGCATTTTCAGTGACAGAGAACCAGAATAAGATTTGTAGGGAATCAAGCCTTGTAAGGCTTGTTACACATGTTACAAGGTTTGAGGTTTGTTTATTTTATATTTTAATTTACACTTTTTAAAAATTATTATTATTATGCAAAAATCTGTGTGCAGATGAATATTTACATTTTAATGTTACAAGTCGTTTTGTGGTTCATATTTGCGGTGACTGTCCCACGTGTGTTTACCTGTTTATATTCACCTACTGACCTAGAGTCTTCAAAATATACCTTCTGTAATCATGACTGTTGTAATCTTGTTTTTATGTTAGTTTACCGTATGTAACTTGACTGTTGTATAGATTTATAGCGATAACTGCAAGCTTTTAATATTTAGGTGAAGAGAAATTTCAGACTATCAATCACAGGCACTTGTTTCATATACGGTGCACCCCTACTTATTTTTACCACAAGGTATCTAACTCAATTTCAGGCACCCCCGCTTCAAGCTCGTATTTTGTTCATGTATCATTATCAATCATTAACCTACTTTAAAATGACATCGTTCGCTTCAAGAGACTTTTTTCTTGTCAAATAAATCGTTTCAGACGTCTCTGGTCGAGTCTCTTTATTGTAAAACACTCATTTATTCCACAAAAATTACCTCGATACATTTTAAGACTTTAGATGGGATACAACTTCCAGTTGGGGATAGAATAAAACCAGAGACTTCCGAGTATTCCATTCCGAGGTCTCTGGTTTTATCCTTCATTTATAACCCCAACCGCAAATTTGTATCGAAAATTACCTTTATTGGCTTTATACATTTTAAGACTTTAGATGGGATACAAATTTCATTTTTTTCACAGGTCACGAGGTTTCAACTTAAAAAATAAAAATTCTCACCGTTAAGATATGTTGGAAATTTTAGCTTGATGTGTTGATAATTTGCCAAATTATTATGTAATAAAGGGGACTTTATATGATCACCCGGCGCTGTCGCTTTAGTTCAGTCTTCACAACAATTCTTTTTCAGCACATGGCCTTCGGGCATGTAGACCTATCATTTTTACCCAGCCCATTCAAATTTGTACATGTCCTACTCAAAATTCTTACATTTACCAGTATTGTGCAACAAAAAAAACCCATTAGGTATAAAGGTTTTATATTAATTTTTTCAGCATCGTAAACCAACCATGGCCTGTGATTGCCATTTTCTAAAGCGTTTTTGTTCATAAATAACTTTGAGTTGCATGCTGGTCATTTGTTGGCCGGTTTAGCTGAACTGAATTTCAGAAATGGGATCATGACTGTAGTGCCACAGTATGTGGCATTGATGAACATCTCGTAATTTAGCAAGCAACTTCGAGAAAACAAATAGGTTAAACTAAACACTTCAATGATTAGATTGACAATCATTTGACAGGTCGTATCGAGAATGTAGACAGGCAATCCATCGACATTACATATAGCAACGTTTAAGCGAATAATGGGGGAAGGACAGAATAAATGGCAAGTAAAGATCGTACAATGAAAGAAGATTCACATATGCCCTCTTCAGACATGTAATTTGGCAATTTTTACATGCCCGGCTGCAAATTTAACAGGTCCCTGGCATTGGACTCCCGGGTTATTTGGAAGACTGTTTGTTTAGTTTCATGAGGTCCGACAACATTGATTCTCAATGTTTGCTCCCTCTACCCCATACACTTATCTTGATAAAATTATATATAAATTATATTATTAATTATATAAATTGATATAAATTATATAAACCGGTATTGTTTATATAATTTTACAATGTCATAAACAGCTGCTTAAGTGCATATAATATTGTAAATGGATTTATATATAGGATTAGGGAAAGATCCTCACTTGATTATGGCAGCATATTTAGCTCGTAGGAGTTTATTATCTACCACACATGATCAATGTCACTTTTGGACGTGAATGACTTTTGACACCCTAACTTCAGTTCAAATCAACATTAACTTTATGTGACGTCTCTCTGAATCTTTTTTGGCATGTAACTTAGGTAAAAACAATTAAATACTCTTGATGCATTTGATTTCTCTTAGCCCGTTTATACATTTCCAAGGTCTATACCAGTTTTTGCAGGGGCGAAACTATGTAGAAGTTGGAAAAGAAACCCATCCCCTTTTTGACGTATTTGGTTTTCGAGGGGTAAAAATTTTCAATATTACACTCAACTACATGCAATATTTATTGTATTATACTGAATGTTTTATACAAATAATAGTGAACCTTGAGTGCATAAATCTGCGCAGTCACTATTTTTTGGAATATCACCCGTCGTCAAGCAATGTTGACTGTTGCGACACTGGGCGTGGCTTCATTATTCAGCGGATAATAGTGCTTTTTAACAAATGTTTCTTGACAAATCAGATTAATTCATCTAATATACCTGAAAGTACAATATTAATTAATTGTCATCATTTTCCTATATTAGCATTTTTACTGGTACAGTGTAATGGTTTTGAAATGATAGGAACATGCACTGTTCAAAAAGTCTTAAAATGTTGTTTTGGCTCAATTTCTTTGTTAGATTACTGTGTTGAACTAAGGCAGGCCAGTTAAAGTAACATGATCCTATAGATTCCATGTACATTTAGTACTGTAAAGTAGACAAATTTATTGTTCTCACAAGTAGTTCTCAAACATTGATTTAAGTTGGTCTCCTGAAGGATGTAATAATGCAATTGGTCTGCTTAAGGTACAGTGTATAATATAGACATGCATATTTTATTTTGAATTTGTATTATGTCAATCATTAGAAATATATGGATCTTAATTAAAAAACATCGTTTTCATTAGAATTTAAGATATGTATAATAGGCATATATTTTTCATGCTTTTCCATAGTTAAGTCCTTTTTTACAGGGTCTCTGCTAGAATCATGTGGACCCCAGTGTAACAAATCTATGGAAAGAGAGAAAATCTCAGCTCAAGGGTCAACATGTCTTTATTCCAAGAAAGGTAAATTGATAATTTTTTCTGCTAAAATACTCTTTTATAAATTATAACATCAATGCAAAAGAGTGAACAAACAATGTACCTAACAATATTTTGAAAATGAAAGTGCAATAACAGTTAATAATTATGATCAATCGTATGAATGTTAATAATCCAATCAAAGTCCTTGTTGTATATCATTTTTGCTAGGGCTGTGTATTGAGCAAAAAAAAAAAAGAAAGACATTTTTTAATGCGATATGCAATATATTGAATTCTTTAACAATTCTGTCAAAAAAGTCTTATAAATCATTATGCATGAATTTTATAAAAATAATAATTGTTTTTTACTCATTTTTAATTTTTTGTCTCACCGTCTTTAAAAATTACACTTCAAATTCAAACTTTTTTGACTGTAAAATCAACATGTTAAGTAAAGTTGTCTATGTATTTTTATGATTTTGTAATAATCATTTAAGATGTGCTACCTCCTTAAATGATTATGTCATTTTTGATCAGTTTTAATTCAAAACAGTTACCGGTAAATATAATCTTTGGTGATTGAAAAAAAACTGCCTGCCCATAAGTTATTTTTAGCTCACCTGAGCCAAAGGCTCAAGTGAGCTTTTCTGATCAAAATTTGTCCGTTGTCTGTCGTGGTTGTCGTCTTTGTCATTGTTGTTGTAAACTTTTCACATTTTCACATTTTCATCTTCTTCTCAAGAACCACTGGGCCAATTTCAACCAAACTTGCCAAAAAGCATCCTTGGGTAAAGGGGATTCAAGTTTGTTCAAATGAAGGGCCACACCCTCTTTCAAGGGGAGATAATTAAGAATTAGTGAAAATTTAGTGGTATCTTTTAAAAATCTTCTTCTGAAGAACCACTGGGCTGTAAAAGTTGAAACTTAGGTGAGACCTTCATTACATAGTGTAGATTCAAATTTGTTCAAATCATGACCCCCTGGGGTAGGGTGGAGCCACAATGGGGGATCAAAGTTTTACATAGGAATATATAGGAATAAATCTTTAAAAATCTTCTCCTCAAGAACAACAAAGCCATGATTAGTCATATTGATATGGAATCATCCTCAGGTAGTGTAGATTCAAGTTTGTTCAAATCATGACCCCCAGGGGTAGGATGGGGCCACAAGGGGGGATCAAAGTTTTACATAGGAATATATAGAAAAAATCTTTAAAAATCTTTTTCTCAAGAACAACAAAGCCACAATTAGGCATATTGATATGGAATTATCCTCAGATAGTGCAGATTCAAGTTTGTTCAAATCATGACCCCTAGGGGTCGGGTGGGGCCACAATGGGGGATCAAAGTTTTACATAGAAATATGTAGAACAAATCTTGAAATTGTTTTTCTAAAAATACAACAAAGCCACAATTAGTCATAATTTATATGGAAGCATCCTCAGGTAGTGTAGATTCAAGTTTGTACAAAATCATGACCCCCGGGCGGGGGGGGGGGGGGGGGGCACAATGGGGGATCAATATTTTACATAGGAATTTATAGAAAAAAAATCTTTAAAAACCTTTCTCTTAAGACCAACAAAGCCACAATTAGTCATATTGATATGGAATCATTCTCAGGTAGTGTAGATTAAATTTTGTACAAATCATGACCCCCAGGGGTAGGGTGGGGCCACAATGGGTGGATCAAAATTTTACATAGAAATATGTAGAAAAAAATCTTGAAAAATCTTCTTCTCAAGAACAACAAAGTCACAATTAGTCATATTGATATGGATTCATCCTCAGGTAGTGTTGATTCAAGTTTGTATCAAATCATGACCCCTCGGGGTAGGGTGGGGCCACAAGGGGCGATCAAAGTTTTACATAGGAATATACAGAAAAAAAAATTGAAAAATCTTCTTCTCAAGAACAGCAAAGCCTTGTTAAGTCATATTGATATGGAAGCATTCTCAGATAGTGTAGATTTAACTTTGTTCAAATCATGACCCCCAGGGTTAGGGTGGTGCCACAATTGAGGATCAAAGTTTTACATAGGAATACATAGGAAAAAACTTCAAAAATCTTCTTCTCAAGAACAGCAAAGTCATGTCTTGTCATACTGATATGGAAGCTTCCTCAGGTAGTGTAGATTCAAGTTTGTTCAAATCATGACCCCATGGGGTAGGGTGGGGCCACAATGGGGGATCATAGTTTTCCATAAGAATATATAGGGGGAAAAAACTTGAAAAATCTTCTTCTCAGGAATAGCAAAGCCATGTTTTGTCATATTGACATGGAAGCATCTTCAGGTAGTGTAGATTCAAGTTTGTTCAAATCATAAACCCCAGGGGTAGGGTGGGGCCACAATGTGGGATCAAATTTTTACATAGGAATATATAGGAAAAAATCTTTTCATCAACAGAAAAGCCATGTTTAGTCATATTGATATGGAAGCATCCTCAGGTAGTGTAGATTCAAGTTTGTTCAAATGATTGGGGGGGGGAGGGGGGGTTAGGGAGGGTCCACAATGGGGGATCAAATTTTTAAAAAGGGAATATATAGAAAAAAAATCTTAAAAAAATCTTCTGCTCAAGAACAGTAAAGCCATTTGTTATATTGATATGGAAGCATCCTCAGGTAGTTCAAAATCCAAGCCCCCTCCCCTTTAAACTTTTCAATACTGAAGTGATTTGTGCTTTTTCCTAGCCAATGTGCTCAGGTGAGCATTGTGGCCCATGGGCTTCTTGTTTTTGATACGATATATTCATTAATCTAGATATGTATCGATATACAGGTAAACTTCGGTATCTCGAACACCGGTATGTCGAATACCACGGATATCTCGAAGTGAATCAACGGTCCCGGCCGTTTTTATTATATTTATGATTTTAAAAAACCCCGGTATCTCGAACACGGAATCTTGAATACCTTGCTTATCTCGAAGTAGATTTACGGTCCCAAGTGCTATAAACACATGCGTTATCTCGAAGTTCAACAAATTCTCGCTCCGCTGAATTCACACCTTAGTACACAACTAGTAGACTAATTGTTCTTGGAACAATTAGAGGTCTTTCCACCTTCCTTAAATTTCATATATTCTCCACATTTAACTCTCTACTGTTTATTTTTTTTTACAAAAGAAACCAGAAATGGCTTAAGAGATGGAAGAAATAAAAATTTTAAAAATTTGGAAATGACCTTGACCTTTGACCTTGAACAAATATTCAAGGTCAAAGATCAAGGGTCACATTGCAATTAACCCCATGCTTCTACGACTTTTAGTATTAAAGTTATAAGGTTTACTAGTAAGCGCAAAGACGTTAAAGGGCAATAACTCATATAAGGGGTCAGCAGATCCTTTTGCACTAATAGACTGAAGTTGTGTCTAATGACCCTGAAGACATTAGTGAAGGTTTCGTGTCTCTGCGATTTACGGTTTAGGAGAAGTAGCGATAACAAGGTTTTTCGCACAAGGGGCAATAACTTTCAAAGGGGTTAAGCTTGGGGGATAAGAATGAAATCTTTGAGATAGATTTAAGAGTACATATTAATGATGCAAAGACCGATAGTATATATTGAAAGACAAAAGAGCTGTAAAAAGAGCTTTAATTCTCATTTTTGGAATGACCTTGACCTTTGACCTTTACATATATTTTTAGGTCAAAGGTCAATGAATCTTATGCAGTTGGTCCCATGTCTCTACGACTTATCATTTTGAAAATTTTTCATTATTCATAAATATCAAAGACTTTCAGGGGCAATAACTCATAAAAGGGGTGCACGAATACTTTCGCAATGAAAAGATTGAAGCGTCCCCTCAATTAGTCGAAGACATTGGTGAAGGTTCCATACCTCTACGGTTTACGGTTTCGAAGGAGTAGCGATAACAAGGTTTTATTGTGAAAGGGGTTGTAACTCCTTAAGAGGTCAAAGTTCATACACGCAGGGTCAACTACAAAAATCTTTTAAAGAGTACATTCTTATAGACTATAAATCTTTTCGATATATCTTGAAACATAGAATCACATCAGGGGGTGGAAAAATAATAATAATAATAATAATAAACAGAAGAATATCAATAGGTCTTTCCACAGAAAGGTGGAAAGACCTAATAATAAACAGAAGAAAATCAATAGGTCTTTCCACAGAAAGGTGGAAAGACCTAATAATCCCATTATGCTAATTTTACGGTCTGTTGAATGTTTCCATTAGGTCTAGCACAGGCTTCATGGGACCATTGCTGATAATCACACCTTATTAGTCCCAAGCTGTTGTTTTTGGTAGTTAAATTTAATTACGCAGGCCAGGTGATTTGGAGGTGTTAATAAAATGCACTCTCAGAGATACTATGACACGATAATGAAACAGCAGCTTGGGGACGATTACTGTACTAGAAATTTAAATTATCGAAAATACACGCTTATACACATCATTACATATCAAAGTAAACACTGAACACATCAAAGTGATATTGAACTCAAGAAATTAAACAATTAAAGACATTATTTTGAGTATAAAAGTCAGTACCAAAAATCAAATCTTCAGTAAATATCATGTCCGATAAGGCAATCTAACAAAGGACCCAGTAGCCAACCAGGGGATAGTTAGATTATCTGACCGTGGTGTAAAAAGAAAACTTAAAGTTCATACAATCGAAACAAAGTTTGCTTTTGTTTATTCATATTGGCAATTTCAGTAAATTATTGTAGAACAATAATTCCTGTTGTTACATTTAGGCATGTGGGTATATGTACATATCCTGTTAAAGTCTTTGTGTATCACATTATATCATGATATACTTCAGGCAAATTAGTACACCCGTAGTTTTGAATACAATTCATACATTGATTTCATTTGCCACAATGGTCTCTTTAATATTGCAATAATGCATTTGGTCTTCCTAATGCATGTATAATGCAGGTACTGTATATACTCTATGTCCAGCTTATAGGTGAGTCATAAAAAGATTAGTATTTTGAAACCAGGTTAAAACATCAGAGCATTGATTTGAAATTGTCAATTGATTCTGGCAAAAAGTTGTACTGATTTATAAGTGGGTCAATAGCAAATCCCTCCAAAATAACCTCAAAAAATACAACTGACTTATAGGTGGACCACCTTATAGGCAAGTATATATACGGTATAGTTTTTGTTGAATTTTGCTAACAGCAAAACACTATGAATAATGAATTTTGGGAAAAAAAGATTATTAAGTTTAATGATGCATGTATGTAGTATAGAAATATTGTTCATATGCCTGTACATGGTACAAATATGCATTTTACAGAGTGTACATATGCCAGAATCATATGGACCGCAGACTGGCCCTGGTGATTCCGTTAAGAAAAAAGAGGAAAAATCAGTGCTTGTCTCATTGGTCATTGGACAAAGGTAAATAGATTTATTTCATGAAACTAAACATGTAAATTACTAGGATATTAAAATATCACAATTAAAATACATGTACTGATTTATATATATATGGATATCAGTTGGTCTCCTTGATGGAGTTAAATGCATTTGTTATCCCTTTTAAGTGGATCATTTAAATATTATGCAGTTTATTTAGAAGCTCTTTATTATCTGCACTGTTCACTTTTACAGGGTGTATGCCAGAATTTTTTCAAGAACAGTCTGAATCTGACATGGAAAAAATTAAGAAAAACAGCCTTCCTGTTTATAAATCTACATTCTGACAAAGGGTAATTTTGTTTAGTTCAATTAGAAGTGCACATTTAAGTTCAGTTGCTTTCCTTAATGATATATTATAGCATTTTTATTCCCTTATGAACAATATGTATACTTGTAAAGCATGTATCACAAAATCTTCTGCAAACAAAGTTTTGGGTGTATAGTGTTTGTTGTTTAACGTCCCTCTTGAGAATTTTCACTCATATGGAGACGCCACCACTTGTCGGTGGAGAGCTGCAAATTTTTGTCCTATACTCAGCACTTATGGCCATTGAGCATTGAGGGATCTTTATCGAGCCAGCACCTACTGTGACATGGGACCTCGGTTAATACCTCTGTCTCATCTGAAGAACGGGTCTCCATGTCCCACAGTGGGATTCAAACTCGCGATGTAAGAATCAGCTTCTTTCTCCGCGACTCTAGAGTAGATGCTCTAACCACTGCATTTGCTCTACTTTGGCAACTTTGGGTGTATATAAGCATAGGAATCATCATGTCCATCTGTCTGTTCATGTGTTTGGCCACTTTTATGATTAGTTTTTTTGTTCCAATTCTGGCTGAGATAAATTGATTTAAGTCATCTAAATACAAACAAATTAAGGGAAAATACCATGGTATTGGAATGAACATTTTGGAATACTGTCTAATTGTTCCATTGTAGTTGGTTTCTTTAATGTTGAAATAATGCATCTGGTCTTCCTAATGCATGGCATACACTGTATGCATGTGTAATGTTAAAGTTGGCTGAATGTAAAACAGTTCTTGCATTATGACAAAGGTAAATAGATTTAGTTCATGTAACTAAACATGTAAATTATTAGGGTATTAAAATCTCAAGTTTTGAATACTGATTTACATGTGGATCGAGAGTAGTTGGTCTCCTTAATGCAGTAATAATACATTTGGTCTCCCTTATGCATACTGTATATTATATAAATTTAATGACTGACATGTACGAGGGTTGATCCAAAAGTTCGTGGAATTTCTTCTAGTGTTGTACCGATAATCAGAAAACATCGATTGTCGACAAAAAAATGCTACCGATTCCGATGATCGATTATAGTTTTTCACAATCGATCATCGGAAACATACTTCTAATACAATACATTCCGGAATTATCCATTTCTGGTTTAAAATTTATTTCTTCTTAACGAAGGAAAATGGCATCTGCATCTGATACTAGCCAACTAGCACGAAGCAGAGGTGATTAAGAACCGAAGATGCATATATAGGGCCTAAAAAAAATTATTTTTGTTTCCTGTAATAACCCGACCGACCCATTCAATTTACCCCCGGGTGAATTTTTTTTTCTGCCAAATCTGTGTTTGCTCTTTGGTTTGATCAATCAGCTGATTCTTTTTATTCAAAAAATATTAATTGTGTCTTTTATTTGAGATATGAAATATGCAACTTAGTCAACATTTACCTTAAATATAGAGTGATCAATTCCCCCCACGACTTTTTGAAGTTCGTTTTCTGCCGCTAGGCAGCCATGTTGGGTGTCCACTGTAAATATTTTTAGGTCTAGAAAGTGTAAAAGAAGCAAAACAACAAAGAAAATAATATATTATGTATTTTATATATTCATGTTAAAGAAATAAATAAAATTATTGTAATAGTCTGCTTTTTGTATACAAAACTATGAAGAAATCCAATTATCCAGTAATAATACATTTGGTCTCCCTTATGCATACTGTATATTATATAAATTTAATGACTGACATGTACGAGAGTTGATTCAAATGCTCATGGAATTTCTTCGTATTTTATTTTTTTATTAGTGAAAGTGGTTGAATACTGATTTACATATGGATAGTGGTTGGTCTCCTTAATGCAGTAATAATACATTTGGTCTCCCTTATGCATACTGTATATTATATAAATTTAATGACTGACATGTACGAGGATTGATCCGAAAGTTCATGGAATTTCTTCTTATTTTATTTATTTATTTGTGAAAGTGGTTGAAAATTACAAATAAGAATATAGACACTTGTTGAATTTTTTTGATAAAAAAATATTTTAAATATTAATGATAGTAACTCTATGGCAGTTGCCATAGCAAAGGATGTTTTAAAATGCAGGGGAGACATTTACTCGTTCATTATCATTTTAATTCTTAATACGTGATATAAGAAAAAACCTGCGCCAAGTGGCAAATAAAATGAGAATTTTGTCATAATGACGATTGCTTGACCACTAATATACCTGTATGTGAGAGTTTTACTGATTTAACTTGATATTTAGATTATTAGTTGATGATTTCTTGTTAATCTTTTAATTGTTAGAGAACGTCACATTTCAGTCAAGTTATAAGTTTTGTTAAAATCTTAGGAACACTCTGACTTAAAGGGGTATACTACTGATACAGGCTGGAGAAAAATGCATTTAGCAACTGATTTTCCAGTGGCGTGAGAAATTTAAGAACAATAGAACTTCCATGGTGTGGCTGCTTTTGGAGGGTCTGTTTTTCTCGTAGACAAATTAAGCGTTGATGGATGTTGACCGCTGACGTACTGTGCTTGACTTTGCTACTGAATTGGAATATCATATGGAAAGATGGGGAGTATTTTTGAAATATGAATGTAATATAAAGATAAGTCGATTGGTGGATACCCAGGCTTTTCTTGAGAGAAAAAAGGAGAAAAAGGCAGAATATTCTGTAGAATTACTTAGTTGAATTGAACATGAGGGTGAGATGCTCCTATAACATGACATGACATACTTAACTTGACGTTACGTCGAAGTCTCCCCCGGATTTTACAACTATCAGTGTTCAGAAAGCTCATGTGACCTTATTGGTAATTGGAACGTAGTGAAATTTTCCAGTATTGTTGCATAATGACTCTATATTATAAATATGCCTATTGTTTGCTTTCATCAAATCACAATAAAATTTTAAAAATAATTAAATTCCATGAACTTTTGGATCAACCCTCGTGTTAGAAAAAAGATGGATCTAAGATTGAACAGGTTATAATTCACCTGAGTCATTTAAATTACTTATTCTATCTGTTCTTGTTCAGTCATCATGTGTCAAGTATTGTCTGTAAACTATTGAACATTTTCAGCTTCTTTTCTGGAACCAGTTTCAACTAATTTCTCGGTTGAAGTACTGTATAGGGGATTAATTTCAGGGGTTGTAATTTTCATGTTTTTCTCTCCTCTGACACGATCGCGGTTTGTTGAATTCGCGGAATTGGTATATAACTAAGGTTACATGTACCTCCCTTCAATGTCTATATCCATTTACCCTAAGTTTTGGGGTATATGTCGATGGGATATATAGGTCGAAAGGCTCATTTTCAGCCGTAATTTTTAAAAAATCCTTAGATAGGACGAACTCAGAAGATAAGACGAGGCTTTGTATATCGATTTTCTAGAGATTCTTACGTAGATACTACGTATCAGAACATGTAAGCCTCTTTAACTTAACCCGTGATATTAACGTATTGATAAAATAAACTGGTATTTTTATGAGTACAGCATTTTAATAGTGTTTTATACAAACATACCTAAAACTTCGTTGAATTGTGATGTAACATATTTTCTCCAACTTGCCTGTTAAATGCCGTCGTAGTTTCACTCTGTCGTTAAACACATAAATACAGTAGTATACAACAGCTATAATTAGGGAAATACCCGAAATCAAACAATAATTATTTCCATTTTAGAACATCGTGAACACATTCTTTTATTCCGACATTATTTACCGGGGTACAATATTAACTTCGAAGACCGCCATTTTTATATTTCTTGTCCAGGGATTTGCTAAAACACGCAATTGACTATTACATATAACTGTGAGCAATTGAAATTAATCATATTATCATGCTTTAATTTTGCTTGAGATGTTGTTGTAAAAAATAAATTTAATTGAGAGTACATTCGCAATTTAACAGTCATCATGAATTTCACTGTTTTGTTTGTTCGATGATGTATTAATACCCCTGTAACGGCACGTGGATCTGTTAATCATGCCCTTCGGGTGTTTAAACCAACACAGGTGTTAACACCTTTGTGTACACAGTGTATATCCATTTATCTGTCAGACGATGAAAATTATATTAGAAGCCAATCTTTGTATAATTCAGTGTACCCCTTGGGATATAAAACAAAATAGTTATGACTAGCGGTGTATTTAGTAAATAATTCTAGGAATTTACTGGCAACAATTTATTTCACGCATTTTACATTTACTCGTAAATAAATATCACAAGACAATGAAAAAATATTTAGGTATACTATTTCAATTATTCGTTACAAATAAATGGTAAAAAAAAGAAAAAAAGATTACAATTGCGATTGTGAAAAACTCTTCCGTATTTTAAACTTTGATACGGTTGCGGTTTTATTTTTAGTAAACAATTGCGACTTCCAACTTCACAAGATGGACACAACATTCTGTAAATCTACTTTGAGACATTATTTACTAGATGATATTATAAGTTTTTGTACATCGACGGATATTTAATGGAACTTATTTTGTAAGAAATCAATGAAATAAATATTTAATTATGTTCCCCAAACGGAGTTTGGGAACATATTGTTTTTACTCTGTTTCTTATTATTATTATTATTATTATTATTAAGTCTTCCGTTCACAACGGAAGACTTATAGTAATTGTATTGTTTCTTTTTAAGTCTTCCGTTCACAACGGAAGACTTATAGTGATTGTATTGTTTCTTTTTATTATTATTATTATTATTCCTCCCAAATTTTGTGAGCGCGATTTCTCAGAGATGGTTGGATAGATTTTCACAATTTTTCACATGATAGTAGGCTTATATATGAAGTTTATATAAAATTCCGTTTTTTGAAAAATTCACTTTCGGTCCGAAGTTACGGCCGAATTTCCAATTTTTAAATGGACTTTTGTCCTGAATTTTTCTCGGAAACGGTTTGAGATAAAGATGTGAAATTTACAGGAGTATTAGATCATGACATTCTCTTTGTTTCGAAGTTGTTTTCGTTTGTTTCCGGTACTTCCTGTCCGAACCGGAAGTGAAT